GTTCCGAGAGCTTTCCAAATTGCACCAGCAACATACACATAAATGCATTTTGAAGTCATTTCAAGAAAAGTAACCATTTTCGGTAGCATCAACATCAACAGCATCATCAGATGTTGCATATTTTGGAGAACTACCCAAAAGCGGTAGTCATTTTTATATTTTATGTTCCAATATATGAAGTCCAATGAAATCTCTACACCACTACTCAAAAGTTTGACATCCCAACGTTTCTTGGTATTATTTCTACTACGTCAGGCTCGGCTATTTTCTTGACCCCGCTAGTGCTTAGAAGTCTAAATTGTTATTAATGTGACAAACGTATTGTACCTACCCAGCATACGCAGAGTGTAGTTGTATTTATCCCATAACTACAAAAACATAAACCAAAAAAAATGCATTATCGTCATGTGTAGAGTAAATGAGGCACACTCCTCCTACTCCTTTTAACAAAATAATTATATTTCCGCGGAAACTTTCCCCGGAATGTGGGTGGCAACGAATGAACTGTCAGTGATATCCTCGAATGGTGTATGAAAATATGTATACTACAGAGCAATTTAATAAGAGCTTCGCAGACAACGTCTTTAATCGGAAGCGAAGTAACACCGCTGGTAAAAAAGCAAAATCTATACAAAATGTCTGGCACCCAGATGTCCAATATTTTTGGGCGAAAGTCCCAGTCCTACAAGTATAAAAAATATTCTACACATAGGGAACCTATAAAGTAACTTATAGAAATTTTCCAAATTGGAAAATAGATAATAAGGAGAACACATTTACGCCCGATTTAGGTTACCTTTTCATAAGGTACCTCCATATAGCGGTACTTACCGATATTCGGCGTCAAAACATTGTCCATATTGATCAACGGGTTCCATACAAAGGTTCGGTATTTATATTGAATATATAACCCAATATTCGGTACTTTATAATCCTAGTCACATTTATATTAGATTACAATCGTTGTAGTATACAATTATCTATATAGGATCCCCTTTTAGTATGGCCCCTATATAACAGCTTCAAATTCTAACTGTTTTCTCCTACCGATCTTACTGGAGTTTGTAGTTTAAAGTGGAACACGTTTCAATCCATATGTTTTTGCCTAAAAATGTTTTCTTTACCGAATGGTGGATGGTCGGCCGAACTTTGGATAATGGAGGTAAAATCCTCTGGCAACATTATACCCAATGGATGAAATATGACATTGCTTTGAAACCAAAAATTGGATCTAATCTGAAAGTTTTCGGGTTGATCTAAAGCGATACATTTTGGCAAGGAGGAGTTTACTCAATGGGCATCCAAGTTCCACTTTGTAGACAAATCGGTTGTGGAAGTACAAATCTGTTTGCTTCGCTACGAAAAAAATAAACATTTCCCTGTACACCCCATGATCGAGGGTTGTTATCCCTTCACAATGGCATACCCTCTGTCTGATGGGAAACTTCAACACAACATAGAACATCGGAGATTATTTGGCATACAATATGCAACGTCACAATGAAGCTATTAAAACTGGTATTCAATTGTCCAAGCCCACCTTCCCACAGCGCTGAGTTTGCTGTGCATTGCTGCAATAAAACGTCTTCAGATTCTTTGAAAGAAGTAACGGCACTTTTTAAATTTCCTGGAAACGGAAATCTATTTAAATTGAATTTTTACTCCCACTCCTTGCCGATTCGTACATTATTCACAACAGGATACAGGAGAATACATGAACGTTGGCATGCCAAGACGCTGGTGCAGAAAGGAAGTGGACAGACGAACTGGCTCGGCGCAATAAACTGAAAATGGAATCCAATTGTTGCCGTAAACTGCAGTAACAAAGGCAGACTCGATGCAACAAATGAAGCAACAGACATTGCACTTACAAAGACCGAACCAAATTCAAAAAAAGAAGAAGAAAAAAATATTTCTGCCAAGAGTTGCTAAGGCCCATCGGCTCATTCGTAAGATTGCTTAACAATGCAACAGCATTGTTGCACCAACAACCCTTGTAGCTCAACAAAAGAAGGCAGTACATATGCACGCATGTATACATATACACATATGTACATACACATCCATATGTACAGTGCCAACAATAGCAATCGCGGAACAACAGCCGACTAAAAAAATTGTGCGTTGGTGGCTTCATTCCTCAGCTATCGACGCCACTGGGGCTCGGAATCACCGCTGCAATGCGTCCCCGCCTGGCTCACATGCTCATTTCCAATTCAATGGATAAGCATCGCGAAACATTCAAATAATCAGCGCCACCAACAAAAGAGTGCAGCAACAATAAGTTTCCATTCATACACAAGTTGCATCTTCTTCAGATAAAGACTCTGAAGAAGTAAATATCGCCAGAACAATTGGCATTCGATGCGAAGAGTATAAGAGCCATTCGCAGCAATGGCAACACACAACGCCTGTACAGGTGTAGCGTTTGAAGCGAACTTGACTGAATAACTCAGCAGTGGGGATGTTATTTTTCGAAACAGAAAAATGGTGCTAAGGAAACTTAAAATTAGTTTTCACTCTGCACAGCGCCTCACTTGCGATTCATAATTCCAACATTGCCCCTAAATATCAGAAGTATGAACGTTTGAAATTGTTAGTTACTTTTGAAAAATTTCGCTATACGGACATGTCACCATTAAACAATCGGCTCATATGTTGCACATTCTAATATATGTAGATTGGAATACCGGAATCCACAATTTACAATGACCCTTATGTGAGAACCAGATTTTTATACAGCCTCATTGGAAAAAAACACAAGAGAAATATATACATCATAGGCTGACTCAGGCCTTGATTGATCAATGCAAACTTACATTGTGTTTGAGGAAAGAAGAACCAATCAGGTCCACGTGTTCGAATAACAGTGCTTCTGGATATAACTAAAATGCTATATACCTCTTACTACTACCACTATAATCCGTGCATCGACTTCTTTACTCAAAAGTTAAGCTAAACGATATCTCGATTTCTACGTTCATTACTGGTGCGAGGCCTACGATGATGTTATGTAACTTGTTTAAACAAAACAGCAATAAAATCTTGTATATATCGTAGATAGATTGGATATGACGGAGTTTTTGTAAATTGTGCAAAATGTACTACGTCGCCGTGCTGGTTATGCTGGGCTTATTACAATTGTCGAACACAAGGAACATATGAAATGTGTAAGTGTGAGTGTGAGTATTGTACAACAACGTGTAATCGGCTATAGTATCATACACCTATCAATTTGTTATGATCGATTCGATGGAAACGAAACATTCATATATAAAGGGTGCTATAGCCAGCGAACGAAAACAAACTATTGGACACGTTTCCAGCCGTTTCGTTTCTGTATTTTTTCGAAGTACGAAACCAAACCAAACCGATATTATCTGAATTGATTTTGGACTAAACGTGGCACACTTTGACCCATTCAACTCGTGAAAAGAATAACCATGACAAGCCTTCCACTCAGGTTTTATGTTCGCTACTTAGAGTAGTGTTGGTATTTGATTTGGGATGCCGAAGTTATTTTGTTCTTGCAAAATCATCAAAATCTCATAAAAGCACCTTTATTTATTAGTGGAGACAATTGACAAGGTTAGCTATCCATATTGAGTTCCTTGATATCAATATTCCTCGAGATAGCCCAACTTCTGCTCACGTCATTCAATTCCTTTGATATGTTCGTCTTTTCCACAGCTTAATCAAGAATGGAATGCCTCGCATTAGTTCAGAAATATTTATTCGAGGTATTTTTTAGTTCCTGTAGCAAGGCGTTGGAATCTTTTCACCACTTGATCTACATAACTTTCCACGCAGAGAGAATTTATTAGATTAAAAGTTGAGAGCTATTCTTTGGACATTTTAGAAGGGTTCGGCCTGGGGTACAAAAATTACTACAAATGCGAACCGCATGTGGGGGACATGCATAATTCGAGTTAGAAAGAGATGTCATGAGAATCCTAGAAAAACCATAGACAACTTGCCGACACAATAAGTAATTATTACATAATTTTAGTACGGAAAATGTAGAGGTGTTGTCCATAACAGAGGCATGTCTGTGCCAAAAAGTAACATCGAAGAGCAACATGACGAACTACCGATTTCCGATAAGGACGAAATTAAATTCATTTAACGTTTCTGTATCTCAATGTATTCGAGTTTCAAAAAGTCAAGTCGGCCCGGGAGATACTTCCTGCGGAGAAGAGGAACAATTAGTAAATTCAATTGAGGAATCACTTTTACTATCATTCAGGAACAGCAGTTGGACACAGCATCTCACGGTTGCAGGATTTTGGCCACATTTTCCTGTACTGGATTCCTATACGCGTGTTAAGGCCACCGAACTATACGACATATGTTAATTAAGTTTCTTTGGATTTCAGTTGAAAAGGCAAATGCACGGCTTGAGTATGTCAACACTGTCAACCCTCAACAACTACACGGCCACCGCCCACACCAGCACTGTCAACAGAATTTAATTTCCAATGAGCTCCTAATTGTTTTCAAGTGCTTGGCCATGTTTTACACTTTCACCACAAATAAATACCTGCAGCAGTCCTGCTGCACATGGGGCTGTGTGACCATTGCTTCGCCCCTTGCTCGGCTTACGTGTACGAGTTCTGGGCTTAGCGTGCACATGGAGCTGAGTGGGGGCTGGGTATCCTTGCTATTGTCCAGTGTGCACTTAATTGCATAATTGCATTAGCTTTGTGCTTTGACATGGCACCGGTAATTATTTATGGCTATGGAGCAGCACACGCTCCTGAGCAGAAAGTGGTTAATTCAAATTGGCCATACATCTCACTCTGAGCAGAACTGCAGAGTGTTGACGTTTTCCTGTCCCTCGTCCGGCTCCTGTGACAAAAGACCTGCCAGAAAGCAAACCGACAGTTAGAAGCTTAAAATAACGTACTCGACTGGTGGAGCAAGGCTGTTTGTCCCCTTTGTTCCCATTGTGTATTTCTTGGGATTCTAGAAGAATTGGAACTCATTCACGGTAAGTGGCAGGAGGACGCTGCAAGCATGCCAACAAAAGAGAAATTGTACGTTTCCTTTGGAATATAAAGTGGCTCACATTGGCAGTTCTTACGATTGATGAAGCACGGTAATTTCATGCAATAGACAAACCTTTCTGTCTATCCGCTACATTTGATTTGGCATAATTATCGTTGTATTTCTTACTAACTTAGATGCCTCCGCCTTCTGCCACTTTCCTCTCACTCTTTCTTTTGTTTAATTTTTTGTTATTTTTGCTACCTCTTCGTAAAATTAAAAAAAAAATTACACACAAATGATTAAGACCGTACCAGATTTGATCCAGCATTCCACATTATAATATTTCTATGCTTTAGTCCATCTCTCCCCTCCCTTTACCTCAAAAGTGGTTTCAACTTTAATAGAGTAACTTTGGCAGTCATTGCGTGGGGGTTTATAAGCTTCTACATCCACAAAACTTAAAAAAAATTTAAATGTCATGGCCATATGTCCTCCAGCATAGTACGCAGATTACCACGTGTAACTCCTAGATACACTCATTTGGGAATATTGCAATTTGACATTTCTGATTCTTAGGTGGTTGGAGGTTTTGCGGAGAATAAACTATTCGCAACGGTCGTACATAGTTTACAACTGTTATCCGACTGTGGACAAGATCGTAGCTGTTTCCTTACATAATTTTTCTTTTCACAAATGTAAATTCCTGGGGCCGGACAATTTTTCGATGAAAATTAGTCCGCCTGTACCTTACTATATACATTTCGTACAACAATATCGAGTGAATGGATAATCTCTGTATAAAGGTCCAACATTAATATGGAAATGTTTACGTATTCTGGTCTCAAAATACATTAGTTTGGCCCCAGTGCCTGTAAACTTAGGAAGGTTCAATAAGCTCTTGATAAAAATAATGCTTATTTCCTCAGCACTGTTATACATTGGACATCTTCCATTCTCCATCGAAACTAGCGGGGCGTTTTGAGTAGATGCCATTATGCCAAGCATAGGCACGGGGAGCTGGAAATGGGTGGGATATCTCAAAGATTACTGCGCCAACTGCACATTAGCTGGATTTAGTTACATTGCCAATCAGAAGTGAGTATTAAGCGACCAGGGTTCGAAGCAACTCATCCAGGTTTTAAAATATTCAAAGTCTGCACTTGATTGAACGAGTCTTTTGGCTGATATGTGTCGTGTTCTCTACCCTGGGATCCTACTTACTGATCAGCCAGTATCAGAGGGACTTCAACAGTCGCGCCGTAAGCATCGTATACGAAAGCTTGCCGTCGACTCATAAGATAATGTTTCCGACTATAGCGGTGTGTGATATGTACAATAAGTTTGTTGCACCTCCAGAGCTAATTGATTACGTCACCTCGTGAGTATGCTCAGCCCCCGGCCCAATTCATGTTCGACAATTAAATACGTTGATTTCTATACCGTGTACCCATTTTAGTCTCGGTTCTACGGATGAGGAGTACAGCTATGATGTAGAGACGTTCATCAATTTTCTGGTGTATCCTTATTTCTACCGAGAGGATAACATCAAGGGCTGGTGTTCTGAGGACTGTGGTGAAGGCTGTGCCGAGTGCCCGGCGAGGGACTTGCGGCAGTTGTATGAAAGAGTAAGTATGCCGGTTCTATTTTTGAAAAAAAATTATATTTTTATAAATGCCAAAATGAAACCCCAAAACGAAAATGAAATAAAGACCCCAAGCAGTATACGATAGGCAGAATGCTACTTAGTTCTTATGTGGTGAGTCGTAATAGAAACAGGATTTAGTGTCCGTGTCGAACAAATAGGACTCGGTGAATTTGAACAGAGTAGTTTTATTGAAATTGCGACGATTGGTGCTATCGTCGCAATTTTGACGCATAGAGAAACATAAATTGCTTTCGGCAGTACATCAGCTCACCTTTGCAATGCTCTCGAGCCTTGAATTGCAAGTCATTCCAATACCCGCACTGAGTTAGTATCTCTGTCTTCTTGCACCTGGACAGGACGATCTGGATATATCTTTAGTAATCTGCGACATGTAGCATAGGGCAGTATGAAGCACATTCTATATAGGAAGGAAAACTCTTTGCGGTGTGAGGGCGTAATTCAAGGAGTGCAGTTTTAAAGCTTTATTACATTTTCAATTTGGGGCATTTCACCCAGCACTTTTGAGAAATATTCTGAAGCCATATTCGATGTTCGACGTGTACCGCAGTTCATGACCAACTGTACGGATTTCTTTGTGTCCTGCGAATTTTCTTTGAGGCCGATCGACTGCTGCAAATATTTTTTACCGCTCACCACGCCCCATGGCAACTGCTTTATGTTCAATTCGCTTTTGAATAACAAGAAGTAAGGGTTTTTTGCTTTGTGGCCGTGTTCCACCAGTGATGCATCCGTTTTGTTTTACAGAGGAAGTCCCACTTGGTACAATAACGAAATCGACCCACTGACGGACACCGCCAAAATGAAGATCGTAACCAAGAAGCCAACGCAGGTAACCCATGTTGCTATCGACCAGTACCTTTTGAATTCGCTAATTTTGCCAACAGTTATCCGTTCTTAACGAGGAGGATGTACCCCATAACTCTTTGGCGGGCTACAAGGTTGAAGCTAATAAACCAGGCCAGGATAAAATCTTTCAAATATTCATGCAAGCGATGAGCAATGATCCCGATGTCAGGGAAATATCTCCAGAGTACAGACAATGTCGATTTCCCGACGAGCTGTTAAAAGACACTGCGTACAAGGCGTATAGCTTCAGCACTTGTTTCGTCGACTGTCACCGCGTCCACCAAATGAAAGAGTGTAACTGTTCCGTTTTCAACTTCTTGCCAGAACCGATAACGAAATACCCCGACTGCGATCTGCAGGGCCTACTTTGTCTAGAAGACTTCACTTTGGTCCGACCAGACGCCAGAAACTTGTTGCCCTGGACAGACAGCAAGTACTCTTGCGAATGTTTGCCTTCGTGTACGGAAAGTGATTTCCGAGTTGTGTTTGACCACCAGCTACCGTAAGTACTGCATAGGGTCTGTGCCATGCCTTCAAAGCAATCCCTGAATCAATGTATTGCAGCTCCAACAAATCCAACCCCTACATGACAATAACGGTCACAATGCCAGAATTTGCCACTGAGCGATACCGCCGTCAGGCCTTGCGCACCCGCCTGGACGTTGTCGTCACGATTGGTGGTATTTTGGGCTTGTTCTTGGGAGCCAGCATTTTGAGTGGCATTGAGTTTGTCTACTACTTCACGCTACGCTTGTGGAACAATTACCGGATGAGGCAACGACATCAGCTTTCCTGAATGGAAAGAAATAACCTCAATACATGAAAAATAATCGCTGCACTAGTCAGGAATCTTATCAAAATCTTGTTTAATGTCTACAATTTTCGTAAACTCGCTTTCCAGCGAAAAACAAAAATACTAAAGAAAAGCGTACGAATACCAGTTGACAACATCTGGTGGGTTTCAGAACTCAATTATTTCAAAATTTTACAAAAGCAAATATATTCCATACAATGCATTATATTATCAAAAAAAAAAAACAGCGTACGAAACGAATAACGTATCGCTCACATGAAGTCACATTTATTTATTTATTTATTTTTATTATTTTAGTTTTTTTTGTGAATAGTTAATTCCAGAATTACACAAACAATAAGATTGCCTCAATGTACTTCCGCTGTCAGCTGCCGAGCAGTATCGTCAGGAATCGTTTCCAAACTTACAAATATTGTTAAACCATCAGCCATATGGCTACAAAGGGCATATCATTTGATACGGCCAAAATGCGCCTAATTGAAGTAACGGTCTTAGACCCTAGGTCTCTTTAGACCAAATCCGTTTCAAGACATTTGGAGTCGATCTAAGGGTTGTGGCTTGTGCGCACGATAACTCTTCAAGGGATTATCCGATTCGACCCAAACTTGGTACCACATAATATTATTGTCAAACTTAGATCGAATTCGGGGATGGGCAATATAAGTCCACTTCTCTGGTACCTCCCCCACAAAATGTCAACATATTCATTGAAAATAATTTGCTTCATAGAACAAGAAAGAATCCAATATTGTTCAAATTTTGCAAATCTTAATATTTGTATCAGTGCAAGGGACAATATCAGTTCACTCCATCAAGTACCTTCCGCACAAAGGGTCAAAATTGTGAAGAATCATAACTCTTATATGACTTCAAATTTCGCATATCTTAATATTTCTTCCAACACAAGAAGACGAAATATATCGGACCACTCCTTCGGTACTTCACCACAAAAGGTCCACATTTTGGTTACTCATAGCCCTTAAAGCATCCGAAGCTAGTCAGAGATTCTTAATGTTTGACTAAACTAGAGATCTAATGTGAATATTGACCTTCTCCGTTGGATACCTCCCCCACAAGACACTATGGGGTCGATGGCATGGTGTTGAGGCAAAATATCATTTTTTAAACTTAAGGTAAGGTCACATTGGGCAAATATTTGACGAAAAATGTGAAATATTTCTTTGTCACAATCTGACCACCAAATATTATTTGACGGTAAATACAAAAAACAGCTGATTTT